GTGATTAACTTCAAATTGGTCTCATATTCTCATTACTGTTCAGCCATTTGTGTTTCATGCCTTGGGTGGAGGCCAGGTACTAACAGAATTCATTAAACACATGCTGTACAACATGAAAATTAACGTGCATTTCATGTAATTAATACCACTAAGCTAATTAATACAACAACTAACTCTTTTGTCTTTTTCGTACTTTGTAATCAATATTTATCCATTTATTCCTGATTTACCACATGCAAAACACTAGACACGTAAAGCACATTAATAAACTTTCACATGTGTTTATTTTTACATGTGTATAGTTTCACATGTGTATAGTATAGTGTGTAGTTTCATATGCTATCACTTTGCAATCTCTTCATGTATACTTTTCCTATTGCATTAAAACATGCAGTGCACATTATTAGCAAGTTCACGTACGTTATGTAAATTTCATATTACCATATCCCGCACATTGAATATTAACTGACAAGTCCCAACGAGCATAATTAATCAATTAATTAAAATAATTTTATCAATAATACTATCAAGTACATCAGCTTTATTCGTTGGTGATTCATGACACAGTAATAATTAATTGTTTCAAAACGCGATACTTTTTTGCTACAAAACAAAAAAGTAACGTGTTGCTCAATTTATAAATTACATTATCATAAGATAAAAAAATATTAAAATCAACAAATGGATAGATGTCACAAAACTATTTAAAAAATAATTAAAGATAGATTAATGTTGAAGATTGATTATATCCATGTTTAATGAACAGCCATAAATAAAATTCCATTTACGTTTAAAAAAAAATATCATAGCCTAGAACCTCGAAAAATTCAGAAATCTTTTGTTTAGAACGCCAAGGAATATTCACGTTTCTTGATGCATTTCCTTATTTGTGACGGAAGAGTCTCAATGTCAAAAGAAATCTTTTGTCTTTGACAGATCCACTCTTAATAATTCAAACCCTTATAAACACAACATCTTTCAAAAAGATTCAGACACATAAATGATTCTTATTACAAACTTTATCTTAAATTTTTACTTTAATACTGAATCCATTAGTGCTGAACGAAAAATGAAGATTTAATTAGGTAAAAATTAATCAATCCTAAACAATTGTTACACTATAGTTTACCTATTAAACAAAAAGGGTATTTTGAAAACTACCCTTCTTAATATTACAGAATCATACGTTTAAATACTGTGGCAATGTTTTTTCCTATATAAAAAGTGTGTCCAGGTGTCATGTTTTCAATTTACATAATGCCAATAAACACATTCTTACTTTTAGGAAGAAATATAGTTGATAGTTATATTTATTTGATAAACAACAATGATTATTCCATTAACAGCTAGCTGTTAAGGAATCTCTACAATTACTCTACAATTTTCTTTAGAAAATATTTTTAATAATGCGTTTGCAAATCTTTAACAACAATATTTTTCTTAGCTATCAGTTGAAATTACATTTCATGTAACTACTGTAATTTATATGTACGAAACGTGGTCCATTTTCTTTTACAATTATAATGAAAATACTTTATTTTATTTGTTACATAATGAATAAATGAATAAATGAATAAATGAATAAATGAATTTATTTCCATTGAGAACAAACTTATTACATGCATTTATAGTATTGGAAATTGACTGGCCGCTTTTCAAGTAGTGCGGTCAGTTAGAACAAATAAATACAATAAATTATAACATATTTTGAGTCTAGCATCATGCATCAAAAATACTCTCATGCCGCCATTTGGGTATCTGCTAAATACATATATTTAAATATAAATAAATAACAATGTAAGTGTTGCAAATTATTCAAGCACAATTAAATAACACTAACTGTAAATAATAAATAACAATAATTATAGGTAATAAATAACAAAACAACAATAATTATACGTAATAATAATAAAACAACAATAATTCTGGAAACTTAACGGAAGGTAGAAAGTCATTTCATTCTTACATGCAACTATTGGCCTTTGGTACCATATCTATGAGATAACATTGCTTAAATAATCGATGTTTTGTTGTGCAGTAAGCCAGAGATTCAATTGTTTGGAGAATGATTTTAGATTTGTGAGATTTTTAATGTTTGAAGGAACTTGATTAAAATACTTCGGTCCTAAATACTCAAAGGAATGGCGAAAAATTGATTTATTGACTTTGGGTAGTCTGAAATTATTTTGACGTACATACCTAGTATTGTAATACACATTGTCACTAACCACATTTCCACTCCTTATAAAAAATAATCTCTGGACCTTGAAAACAAAAAGATGTTGAATAGGTTTAATATTTAAATGCTTATAAAGAGGGAAAGAAGATTCTGTTTTGAATTTGTTTAAAATTATACGTAAAAAATAGTTTTGGGTGGTTCTCAGTTTATCTATCAAATATTTATAAGTTCCGCCCCAACATATTAATCCATATTGTAATCTAGAGTTTATTAATGCAAAATACAGTGATCGTAACAAATCAATACTACAAATATTCCTTAAAAAATAAAATGTTCTAATTGAAGACCTTAATTTTGCATGCAAACTAAGTATATGTTGATCAAAACTCATTTTTTCGTCCAATATAATGCCTAGATATTTAAATTTGTTAACTCTTTCTAAAGGTTGGCAGTCGCAGACTACTAAATTACATGAAGCAGAATGATAAGTGAGAGGAAAAGGTATTTCAAAACCTGAAAGATCAAAATTGACATATTTTGTTTTATTTGCATTTATTTGCATTCTGTTTTGGAGGCACCATTGTCTTAACAACAAGAGATCGTGATTGATTGACTCACCAAGTATTTCAGAATCTTTATTGCAGTAAAATATTGCTATGTCGTCCGCAAAAGCACTGACATTCCCCTTAAAATTAAGTTCCAATAAATCATTTATAAATATTAGAAATAAAATACCAGAGGTTACTGACCCTTGCGGAACACCTGACTCAACTGTTTTCGCAGAGCTGTAATGATTTAAACATTTTACTTTTTGTTTCCTTCCTACTAAGAAACTTCTGAACCAACACAACGCAGTTCCCCTAATACCCAACGCCTCCAATTTATCTATGAGAATATCATGATCAACTAAATCAAACGCTTTTTTGAAATCAATAAAAAGTCCTGATGTTTTACAATTTGAGTTTAGACTATTGAATATTTGTTCTGTGACATTTAATAAAGCATCTTCAGTTGATTTACCCCTTACAAAACCAAATTGATTACTGCTAAGAAAGTTAATTTTCATCAAATACTTATTCAACCTTAACATCATTAACTTCTCAAATAATTTAGAAAAAACTGAAAGTAAACTAATTGGTCTTATATTGTCAAATTTTGAAGAATTTTTATCTTTTAAAATTGGTACGACAGAACTCAATTTCAGGCTTTCGGGAAATATACCCAGACTAAAACTCTTATTGACAATATGTATTAGTACTGGCGCTATGTCATCTATAACAAATTTTAGTAGTTGTGTAGAAATATTATCATATCCTGAAGATTTTTTATTCTTTAGACTTTTAACCACTAACTTTATTTCGTCTTCTGAAGTTGGTGCAATAAAAAATGATTGTTGTGAGGTGCGTAGTGGAAGCATATTTGTGGTCGATACTCTTCTAGGACGGTCAGCTTGTACAGAGATAAGGTAATTGTTTATCTCCTCTGAGATAACGGATGGGTCCGTTGCATAAGTTCCATCTGATAATTCAACATTCTTAATATTCCTATCTGACACTTGCCCTGTCAAACTATTTATTATTTTCCATTGTTGTGAAATGTCGTTGTTATTGTCTAACAATAGTTTAGAATAATATTGGTGTTTTGCAATACATATTTTCTCATTCAAATTATTACAAAATTTAGCAAAGAAATTTCTGAAAGTTGTGTCATATAAACGTCGCTTACTAATTCTATAAAGCTTTTTGCGCCTATTAATGCCATTCAGAATATCGAAAGTTATCCATGGGCTCAATAATTTAGCTTTTTGCACTCTACTTTGCCTGTTGACCTTTTTACAACTTGTTACAACTGAATACAGTACATCATTAAACTTACAGTAACAGCTATTTACATCTTCATCATTATATACTATGTCCCAGTTAATCACTTTCAATTTATCTTTTACTAAATCAAAATCAATTCGAAAACTATCATTATCAATCTTAGATATGCTTGTTACATTACTATGAGATTTCCATGTATTTTTATGAACAAGTCCTAGAATACAATGATCTGTAATGCCATGATCAAAAACTGCACTATTAAAGTTATTAATGTCTTTGCTTCTAATAAAGATGTGATCTATACAAGTTTTAGATGTAACAGTAATTCTGGTTGGAGTGTTAACTAATGATGTGAAACCTTGATTGTGAAGTATATTGAGGTAGCTATTTACAACAGGTTTATTGTCTAAAATATTTATGTTGATGTCGCCTAAATAGACTACATTGTTATGCATATTTTTAATTACATCAGTTAATTCTGTTATAAACAAATTTTCTGAAATGTTTTGGAGCCTATATAGGCAAAATAGCTTAAAGTAAAATTTATTTACGGTAACATGTAACAATAAGGCATCAGCTGAGGTCATATTTATTTCTAATTTCTTACAATCTATACTATTGTCTAAATAACATATAACACCTCCTGACCTGTATGTATCATTACACTGAGCAAACATCTTGTAGCCTGGAATGTTATATAAGTGAATTTCGTCTGAACCTATCCAAATTTCACTAAGTATTATACAATGGATTCTATTATTTATACTATTTATTTCTGCTATAAAACTATTGAAATTTTTGCGCATACTTCTTATATTCATACAAATTAAATTCAAACTATTGCTTTTACTTTGTGGGTCGAAAAAAACATTCATATCTAAATTTTCACTACTTAACATTATGAGTTAGGGAAATTCTGCTGAACTACAAAAAAATTAAAACAAAAATGTATCTGATGTAACATAGATATTTTGAAGCAAATGACAATATAACAGGGTCTATTGGAGCTTGAGTAGTTCATCATAATTGTCTATTTTCTTGCATTTCGCATCCTGACACTTTCGCACAAAAAACTTGCCGTCCCTACACCATGCATATTCATAACCTATTTCCTTACATTTATTTTTCAAACTTTTTAGGAATACCTTGTTGTCAGGAGATAGGTGCTCATTCACGTACATGCTGTCTTTTGGGAAGGACGCGTTGACTTCATGGGCTATCATCTTTTTCTTGTCTCTGAACTTGCCAATCATGCTGTCCCGAGTCAATCTGCTTACAAACTGCACAATAAGTGGCTGATGGCGGTCCTTACTGAATGAGGGTACTCTGTGGGCGGCTGAGATGTCCTTCTCGTCGATCTCCATCCCTAGGGCTGATCCAACGTCTCTAACGAGCTCGAAGACATTTTCCTTGGGGGTGACTGGAAGACCGCTGATTTCCACATTGTTCTTTCTTGAATATTGTTCCAAGTTTCTCACTTTGTCATTCAGCTTCTCTACTTTGCTTGTAAGAGTGATGTTTTTAGTACGGAGCTCTTCGTTTTCCTCTTTTAAAACAGCAAACTCGGTCTTTACTTCTTTCATGACACGTATGGATTCATCAAGTTTGTCTGAAATAAAACTAACACTCTTTGTTAGTTCGCACAATTCACTCTTGAAGGTTTTCAACTCTTGAAAAAAGTCTGTTTTAAAATCATTCAGCATTTTAGCGATCGATTCTTTATTGTAGGAATCAGTGTTGGTACCGGGCAATAACTCGCGACAATCTTTTACTTCCAATCTCGATTAGAACGCGTTTTCTTGCCTTGGACATCGTCCTTAACACACAGCGCGTGGAATAACTTGTTGCACCCACCAACACATTTAACACAATCACTTTCTTCAGAAACGACTTCTTGATTGCAGATACCACAAAACGACGACATCATTAATCAAATGATGCACACAGCGAAAATACACATAAGATTATCTAATTAACTCGTTAGGGATATGTCGCGACAGTCACGACTAAACACGTAACCCTATCACTGCGGAGCTTATCTGTAGTGCGGCTTATCTGCTCGGCGGCTAGAGCCAGACTCAAATCAATGAATGATTCATAGCCCTCGCTTACATTATCATATATTTGGAAAGCTTGCTGACAGTAACATACTAAAATTGGAGAGATTTAACCCCAAATAATGAAACAGAAGTCCTTGCCAGATTGGGTCCTGATTCAAAATGGGTTGGTTACAAATAAATTTTCCGCGATATAAGTTATTAAAAACAGAAGTCATAGATGGATAGAGATATAGATTTAGAAGCTTTATATTATTTCTTTTTAGTTTTTGTTCACCCATTAATTTCATAACATTTTAAATATTCGTAATATTTTTAAAATCACAATGATATGTAAATATATTTTAGTTGTGGAATTTTTAAATGAAATGCACTCTGTTTAAACCAGCACTTCGGAACCTACATTTCGATAGTACTTTTTTTATTTATGGAGTTTTTAAAAGTTTTATATAGTCAAATATGATGACTAACTATACAAATATTCATACTTTGTGTGATAGTATAGTATATCCTTCATATTTAATATAATGACAGGTAATTCTAGTGATATATTTTGGTAAAAAAACCCTTAACTCAGAATGTTGTGAATGTTTTATCTTCCATACCAGCTTTGACAATGGCCTATATTATGAAATACTAACTGAGGTAGTTTACAGTTGTATTATTCACTACAAACCCTATTGTATCCGGCTGATATGTTTTACAGTCTAGTGATTAAACATGTACTGCTTGTTGCCATGAAAGCAGGGACAGAAATCGACACCTGCATATTCTAGCTGTCATTTCATCAGTTTTGTATGGAATAAAAATAAATTCCACCGTGGAGTATTATTGAAATCAAACTGTAGCAAAGATGAATTCGATATTATATCAATGTATGTATTCTAATAAAACACTAGGGGTATACTGCAAATGTCAACGAAACAATTAAGTGATTTAAAGTAGTCTACATGTATCAACTGATATTATATTTATTCATAGTGTTAAAGTGCTTTAGCATAAACATTATAATAATTGTTTTTTACTCCTAAAATATATTCTGGACATTTTGAATCGTTAAGCATAGTTCTTTTTATTACTAGTATAATTTGAAAAGGTGATTTGAACAAAACCGAGAAAGAAATCAAGGTCAAATAGTGGTGAATGGTGAATGTCCTTCCTTTTTGGCTTTGTAGCTGGGTCTCGAAAGTTTATTTGGAGCACCTCCAGATGGGCATAAGACACAACCGACCCTTGGCCTACCTTTTTATTTCATCTGTCATTTGAATAAGTTCCTTTAAATAAGCTTACAAGAGCTGTGGTATAGCATTTATAATTTAGTACTACTCAGAAAAAAATCCTTCATTTATTATCCAAATACGTTTTGTTTTGCTCACTTAATTAATTTTATGGTCAATACATTTTATACCATATTACTAGAGACGTTGCATTTTCTTAAGATTGTAGCGGATCGCTACAATAGCGCAAGTCACATGACTACGATGCGCGCGCAGTCACCCGGGTAGGCACGCGCAGCGAACCAAGAGCAGTACAGTGTAGTGTCGAGCGCCTGGAGCTGTACATCTAACTGGATAAGTAACTGTAGCCTAAGATGTCAAGCTAATAGAAGTAGGGGTTGGGGAAGGGTGTAGGTTAGGGCAGGAGTAATTAAATTATGTAACTTATTGGATTCTGGAATGGTCGTGGTCTGGCAATTAATATCATAAATTAGAATTCACATTTGCTAAGTCTAGTAACCTTTTTCAAGTCTAGTAACCTTTTTCACGAATTAGAATAAGTCCATATATATATATTTCTCTGTTCACTATATTATAATTAGATACATTAAGAACATAAAAGCTGGCTGTGATAGGCAGCTAAGGTAATATTGTGCACTTTGACGAGCTAAATTAATTCCTTGCAATAGAGTTGGGTTTCGACAGGAAATGTGCGTGATTTGGCAGTGGTTAGAGGAAGATATATAGGGCCCAGGTATCTTCATTTACACTCATACTACACCACATCATCACATAGTGGTAGCAGAGCGTCAAGATCCGGCCAAAAATGCAATTTTAACAGAAATAGAATAGATTAAAACGTGTCTCAGACCAGCCAGGTGCTTTGTTCAGACAGGAAATCGACAGGTTACAGGTCGGCACCACGTGGCGGCCTGGAACGCACGAGCATGCATAGCTAGGCACGTCATGAAATGTGAATCAATATCATTCAATTTATTTTATTTCCAAGGAAAATTTAAAAATCAATTTTGATGAGAATGTTTTAATTTCAAAGTAGAATTAGGAGAACCTTGATGTTTTTTATTAATATTTTACCAAACCAAGTTGATAAATATGTTTAAATGCATTTATGTAATCACTCACGAGTTCGACATCAAGTCTGAAAGGCAGTAATTAAACTAAATATACCTCGACGACAGGCCGAATGAGTGTTTGATGAATATTTTTATTACCGAAAGCAAAATATTAGGAGTCAAAGTGCACATCAGTATAGTTTACAGGCCACGACCAAAAAATCAAAATTCAAAATTGGGGGGAATTTTAAATTCATTTGTATGTCACCTCCCCAACCCCAAAAAAGTCATAAATATCCCCAAAAATTTTTATTTCATAATTTTTACAGCCGAAAGGGTACTGCAGTGAATTAATTAATGATTAAAATAGTATTTTAAAGCGTAGTCTGACATATTTTAGTTGTAACTCATCACCTTAATTTAAGTTGTGTTTAGAATTTAAGTTGTTCAGCAAAGTTTTGATATTTGAGGTGGGCTAGTGAAAGTTGAGAGTCCATGTCATTAATAGGCCAGACAGACTTAGAACAGAACTGGAATGTTAGATAACAGAAGTTCAAAGATAAAGCGACGATTTAAGGCCAGATTTGTTATTTCCAAGCAAACATACACGATTTAAATATACATTACACACAGTTATTACAGGCTCATCTTAAACAAAAATACAAATAAATATATAAAATAAATATAAAAACAGAAAAACATTTAAAACGTAAAAAAAAATATATAATAATAATAAATGTAAAAAAAAATGTACTACATAATCAAAAGAAAGCCAAGAGCCTGTTTACAACATTTGCTTGAGTACTGTAAATCGTCACTTCGCAACATTTCAGTCAATTTAGGCCGTTAATTGACAGTGTTGATTCCTTCTGAATCGAGCCAAAACCACAGAGTCAATTCATTGTTCACATTAACAAATTATTAACTTACATAAAATTTCATGTAATTTAGTACAACAATAACACAACAATCAGTACAGCAATAGATGTCAGACATAAAATGCATTACAGTTTTATATTTTACAGTTCACAAAGTTTCATTCACTCGCAGCGACCTTGAACATGCAGGCCCGACACTACAACCAAACAAAAGAATTCCGACATACCGACATGCCATTACCCTGCTACACTCTTTCGACCACCTTGATACCGTAATATGATACAAATTCAAATACTCGGCGATTCACTGACTAAACGTCTGGAATATTTTGTTAACCGAGAAGGTAGTAAATTAAAATTAGAATACAGTATGGGAATTTCAGGCGCAACAATTGGACAATTAAAGAAACAAATCAAAATCACAAATCCATATTTCAACAGTGAAATACCATTATTGTTATGGATAGGAACCAATGACATATTCAGCTAATGACATATTCAGTAGGGATGACATACATTTGAACAATATAGGGAATCAGATCTTAGTCAAACATTTGACACACCAATTGCAGTAAAATACAATCATTAGGCAAAATTCACACCTTTTTTTTAAATAATTTCTCTCTTTGTCTTGTTAAATTACAATTTGCCCAGCCCAAACTCTTCCCACCTGTTTGGTAAAATAGTTGATATCAAAAAGGTTTTTAGGTCTTGAATTTTTTTACTATTCAAATAATAGTAGATCAAGGCAAGATGTCCAAGATTTACGAGTGGGAAACAAAACCCACAGGGGTATCATGTATACGAGATTTTGATGCGCAAAGCGCAATTCTACAGTGCGAGAAGTGGGGCTTAACCCCAGCCAAGACACTGGAAGAAAATAGGGTCATTTTAAAGAACGCGGTGACAGCGCAAGTGCCAACGGTACCAGACACACCAAAACCCACGGAACAAAACACACCCATCTTAGCGGATCAGACGGCGGAAATGATCAGAATCACAGCCCAAGCCATAGGCAATTCAATCGCTCAAGCTTTATCACAAAACAAACCTGTAACACAATCAACACACGCCCACACAAACCCGAAATTAGTTGACGACCTAGCGTCGAAAGCTCCCAATTGCGACGGCACTGACACAAGCAAATTGTTAGCCTTCTTGAAAACGGCCATTCAAATTGAGAAATTAAAGTTAGCCGACGACAAATCAATCACAATAGCATTGTTACACAAAACAGCAGGGCAATTAAGGGATATTTGGACCATGGCATTACAGGAGAACTGGGAGGTCAAGGGTAAAACAATTCCTACTATAATTAGTACCTTTCTGCCAGAAAGGGCAAAACAACAGCTCCTGAC